CGGCAGCATGTTGAAGCTCCATCGATGTGGTCAATCTTTCCGCTCCAGGTACTTCATTGATATATAGATCCTGCCACTCTTTTTGTAGCATGTACTTGATGCTTGATTAGTAGTTAGTGCTAAATTGGCTCGCTCACATGTGCCTCGAAGCTTCATAACACTGATGCAGCATGATGATTAGTGGGTTCTATGTCCTTTCAATAATCCCTTAATTCCTTCTAAAGGCACTAGTTTGCTAGGCTTCTAAAGGATAATGCTCTTTAGCCCAAGACTAAGTTGCTCGGACACGGGTGCGGATCTAGAAGTCGGATCCTACGATATGTAAATTCTGAGATTTAGAGATATGGATCATAATGCTATTTTCTTCAAATTTACCCTAAGTCTGATTCTGATTTCGGGAATCAAATTTTATTTTGTCTCGAATTCTTCTGTCCGTATTGGTGAAAGTATCCAAAATTGTTTGACCAAATCCTGTACGGATCCCATACCCACACCCACACTAGTGTCGTGTTGACATGAGTGCGGCACCTAAACTGCCATGTCGGAGCAACTTAGTTCCAAGAGCAAGAAAAAGTCAAAATTCCTTTTCCTGGGGAGCTTTTAGCTAATTTCAAACAACCAAATTCAATTTGGAAAGGATGGTGATGTAAGGATCCTACGTAATAAATTAGTTATCCTCCCACCACCCCCAACTGAAAAAAATTTCTAAACAAATTCGTTTGATTGTTCACCATATTGACATCTTACGACTTTTTAGCTCTACAAAAGAGAAGCTGATTTATTTCTCGGAATGGATGTTTTCAAACAGTTTGGAAAGCATAGATTCTGTAGCTCTGTGGAAATGGTTGAATGGTTGTGTTTCGTCTACCGGCATTCAAAAAGTTAGAACTATGTACTTATTCAAGTTAGCATTGAAATGCATGGATATTTAGTAGTACTAATGTTTAGTCAGGGCTACTAAACCACTTCGTGACTAAATATGCTACTTAATGAGCATCTTTTCTGTTCTACTCTAAAGCAGTCATAAGAAAAATTAGGTGGTTGTTTGTCATGGTATCATTTCTTGTGAAGCATGTGATCTTGACATTGTGCTTTCCACTATTTGCAATTTCTTTTTTGATGTTAATGAGCTGCCCAGCAGGATTAATGTTTCAATGCTCATCTCAACGTTCAGTATTTTCTTCTACGGCACTGACAAAATTGCAACATAATGAACAGGATTTGTTAGCACTCAAAGAAGATTATACAACGCGGCCTGCAGTGGAAGAGACAATCAATGATCCAACAAACCCAAAACATTACTGGCGATACCGTATGTGCATTCGTCCTCTTTGTTGTCTCTCTGTCCCCCACCCACCTCCTAAAGAAGAAACGTAAGAGGAAACTTACCTTTCTTGCATATCTGTGATTTGATCAAAACTTTACCCAAAACATTACTGGCGATACCGTATGTGCATTCGTCCTCTTTGTTGTCTCTCTGTCCCCCACCCACTTCCTAAAAAAGAAACATAAGAGGAAACTTACCTTTCTTGCATATCTGTGATTTGATCAAAACTTTACCCAAAACATTACTGGCGATACCGTATGTGCATTCGTCCTCTTTGTTGTCTCTCTGTCCCCCACCCACTTCCTAAAAAAGAAACATAAGAGGAAACTTACCTTTCTTGCATATCTGTGATTTGATCAAAACTAAAGTTTTAATCAGGTCTTTAAATTAAAATGTACAGAAAAATGTTGGGTTGTGTTTCATGTTCCTGATAAAAGTTCTACCACATGCTTCACAATGCTTGATCCCTTGTCATACAGTGAAATCAATTTTAACTCGTTTTTGTACTTTGAAGTGTTTAAGTGAGAAGAGAAACTTGGCCGTGTTATTAAATCCGCCTTAATAGTAATAGTAGCTGACTCGTCCAAATTTAATTTGCTTTATACATGTAAGCAAAGTTAGGGCATGTATTGTTTGCACCTGGACTAAGTCCTTGCAAATACTGTTCTGCAGAAGAGAAGTCCTCAATAACTAGACTCCAAGTTTCTTATGGTGATTCCAACTTATCGTCCTATATAGGGCACGTGTTGTGTATCCTCACTTTTTCTTTTTCAAAATTTTGTCTTGACCATCTACCCAAAGTTATTTCTTGTTATATGCATGTATAATCACATTTTTATTTTGAGTCGAACAATTGAAAGAAGGTCTGTGAACTTATGTTCACCAAGTAATTACTAGTAAAGGTCTATTTTGTAAAAATCACAATCTGGATCGTAGGACTCTACAATCTTATTATCCTAGTTCATGAAAGATCTGGATTGCTAGTAGGATTGAAAGAGGTGTGTTCAAAATAGGGTTGTGAGAAGGTACGGGAGAAAATATGATATATTGATATTGTGTGTGATGCAATACAAGAGGTGCTATTTATAGCTACTCTATACAAAGGGGATACTACTCCTATTCCAATGTGGGACAATTACATAGCTATCTCTAACATTTACATAGCTATCTCTAACACTCCCCCTCAAGCCGGAGCATATAAATCATATGTACCGAGCTTGTTACATATATAATCAATGCGAGGACTAGTGAGGGACTTGGTGAAAATATCTGCAAGTTGATCATTCGATCTCACAAACTTCGTAGTAATATCTCCTGAGAGTATCTTTTCTCTGACGAAGTGACAATCAATCTCAATGTGTTTAGTTCTCTCATGAAACACCGGATTTGATGCAATATGAAGTGCAGCTTGATTATCGCACACAAGTTCCATCCGACTGATTTCACCAAATTTCAACTCCTTG